GAAAAATGTTTCTACATAATTTCATAATAAACGCAGTTCGCTTATGTTTACAATGTGCTTAGGTATGTATACAAATACAAAATAGATATGAAAAAATGTGCACAATTTTTTAGTTGTTCTTTTTCTTTATTAATGTTGAGTATCTAATTTATTAGCTATATACTCAGCTAAATAAATATCTATAAAAAGTCTGCAGGTAATTATGTGCTAAAATGTTTTCGTGCAATGCGCATCCTGGAGAATCTATTTTCAGAACTTACCCGCACATAAACTGTTTATATTGAGACTTGATAAACCGGGCCAGTTGGGCGCAACTGAGTACAAAGTTCGAAAGTTCGAAAGTTAATACTTTATGATATTGTGCTTTATTTTCGCTGACCAATTAGTTATGAGTACTTGGAGTAGCACTCGCACTTGTGTGCGTATTCGCAATTGTACAACTTTGGAGCACTTGAAGCAGCTTGTTGCAATCGGGTACCAAATGAGTTGGGCAAATAGAAAATTGCCAATGTTTGCCTGAGATGGAGGGAGGCGGGACTGGGGCGTCGAAGGCACTATGATGCCTCTAATTAGCTGCCTGGCATGTTTGTTGTTTTTGGTGCTGTTGCTGATTTAGTTGTTGTTGTTGTGTCTCGCATATTGCGCTTCAAGTGCCTGCTGGCCAGCCGATGCAACATTTGCCATAAAAATTTGTTTACAAGTGTTTGTTGTGTTATGCAAAGTCAAACATTTTGCTCGCCTGCCGCTGTCAGCCAGTGAAATTTATGGGTCAGTAAGTTGCTGCAGCTAGCACTAAAGTGAAATGCAGCAAATGCAGCAATCATTCGCCCTCTCTCTCTCTCTCTTTCTCTCTCTGTCTGTCTGCCTGTCTCTTTCTAGAGCTTTAGTGTGCATTCTGTTTGCTCATTTGCTTTGCTCGTTTGTTCAAACGCGTGACAAATATTTCATTAGGCATTTATGCACACTTTGTTGCTGTTGTTGCAGTTGCTGCTGCTGCCTTTTAGCCCCAAAAGCAGCAACTTTGTTGGGGCGCAGAGACACAGCTCGTCTGCCCGCTAGGTGCCGCTCCTTTGGTAAACAATTCCAGATGCGTCTTAATGTTTATTATTTTCACTACTCAATTAGGTTTAATTAATTTTGAAATTGATAATTGCAAGCCCGAGCGTTGCTAGTGCCATTTGGCCTGGCAGCCCAGCAGGAGCCGAGCTGTCAATGTCGTGTGTGTGCGCATTGCTTTATGCAAATGCAATTAAAATTTCAACAATGCAAACATTTACTTCCGTTGCAACAAATGTCGACGCATCGTGCCAGCATCTTCATAGACTCATCCCCGCACTCATCATCTGCAGCAGCAGCAGCAGCAGCAGCAACATTTACCTGACAGGCAGCAACATTTGCCTGGCCACACCTCAGCCACAATTTGGCGTTTCGCATTAGCCTGTGTTTGTCTTGCGATAATTGTATGACTATGTAATTGTATTTACACGCTTCCATATGTGGGCGTGACATTTGAAACGGCAATGCCAACGTATCCTTTCAACTAATGAGGCCAGGCCTGGGAGGCTGCACATAATTGCTGCCTGTTGTTGTTACAAGGACAAATAAACGACACGCTCCCAAAAGCAGCCACAGGCTGTCTACAGACTTTGCCAAATACTCTGGAATACAATGCACAATGGGGGATATTTGACTAAAAATATTGTTGTGAATATTAATCTGAACTAGGTAGTTTGGGGCTTATCACAGCAAATTCATTTAAATGTTTGTCTCTTTTTGATTAAATTTGCGTTTAGCTAAATATTTTCTGCATTCTGCAATGATTGGCATCATTTTGACTTTGAGTTCAACGTTGGCTTTTTTTTTGTTTAACTGCATTTCAATTTGCTGCAATGAAATCAGTTGCAATTCCATTGAGGCACATAAGAAATGCCAACATTTTTTACAATCAGCATTTAAAACGAGGGGGCAGCCAAAGTCAAATGATTGCAGCTGGCACAGAGGGGGCGATGCGGGGCATACGCATTCCATCTTCATCAAAGGCTCGGGGGCAGCGAAATGAGAAATGAGTTTGAGGCTGTTGTGGCATCTGCATGGTACGCACAAATGTGCTGCGTGCTGCACTCTTTCATTGGCTTTCAGTACATTCTTGTACTTTTAAATAGAACACACTGCTGCCCCAGCTGCCCCAGCTGCCGCAGCAAGTGCCACAAGTGCCGGGCCCAACTATTCAGTATGGGTTAATCAAGTGGCATGGGAAACTGCGCGAAGAGTCGCTCCTTATGCTCCTCGGCTAAGTGGGGGCGTTTGCTCGACTCGACTCGACCTCGTCGATGAGTCATGTTAACATAAACAAATCAAACGCTGCCTTCTATCTTCAGGTGTGGTTGCTGCCTTCCATTTATTTTTGTTGCCGACGCTTTGTTTAGATTAGCTCCGACTTGCCACATATTTTAGCTAGTTTTTGGCTTTTGTTTAGCATCGAATTTAAGTATTTCACAATTTGTTTGTGTTCTTGAGCTTGGCGGCTAAGTGCACGCACTTGTACAGCAAGTGCTATTGTTATGGCTGTTCTTGTTGCTGTTGGGGCCAATAAACAGGCCCGTTATTTATGATGGCCATTGCAACATGTTAACCCACAAATGCACTTGTTGCTTGCCAGACATTTCCACACACATGCACATCCATAGGATGTTAATTGAATGTGAACAAACATTACCCCCAAATGGGTGTGAACCAAATAATCGACTCAATTTTCCTAGACAAACGCATATATTGACTCTACAAGTTGTTGAATGATTTTCGTATACTTAATCAGCAGGAGTATACATCATATATCATACCTAAACGTTCTCATGTTTCCTGATAGTTTTATTGTTTAGCCTTCAAAATGACTTACATGAGGCAGATAGTTATTTAATAGTTTACTTTGTATGTTTGTCTTTCGGTCTTTCTCACTTCCTCGCATCCTTTTCAAACATCGCCTTTCTATGCGATTTTCATCATTAACAAATGATTTCACATTGCTCAAATACAGTAGTTACAAACAATTTACAACAATTTAGACAGAGTACACATTACTTTTAACTACTTACTCATTACTACTCCTACTTGTATTGTAACGAACTCTTGTTTTCCATTGTACTTCAGAGATTTCTCTGAGCTAAACAACGAACAATGCCGACCATTGTTTGATTGTTTAAATGGAATCCTTTCATTTTGGCTTAAATGGGCCTGTGAATTGACCCGGGCCACGCTGTGGAAAGTTGCCGCAAGTCGCTGCCTTGATCTTGGCCATTAGTGAGCTGCTCCAGATTGACGTCCATAATCCAATTGGGGTCAGAACAAAGGCAGCACCAGCACTGGCACACATATATTAACCTGGACATGGGCCCGATGTTATCTCATTTTGTTGTAAAGTTTCCGCCGAATTTTTAGCATTTCCGCCTTTGTTTGACATTTATATGGAGGCGGCGGTTGCGCTTGTGGCTGACTGAATTCCAGTGGCTTTCATTTGATGTGTACGGGCAATGCTTGGACACATGTACTATTTGACGATTGCGGCAGCTGTTTATGTTTGTGTCACGTGGCATCCGCCATATGTGGCAACAAGAATTCTCTGTGCATATACATACTTGTACAGTATGTATAATGTTTTGTTTTCGGCAAGATTTGGATTTGTGCGAAATCAGCAGGCGGAGGCACATAAAAATTAAATCACGAGCTGGTCGCGGATTCTGCGGTCTCAGCAGATTTCGCCGAACTATCCAATTAATAGCCTGGTCCGACTGTGTCCTGGTAGTGTATCCTGTTTGTATGACGCAATGGCTAAGGAGGCGTCTAAGCGTCGCCGTGCCGCCTCGAGCTCGGTTTCAGCCAAGGCTCAATGGACTGTGAAATGTGTGCCGTTGTCATTGTTGTTGTCGTTCTCGTTGTCGTTGTCATTGTCGGTGTTCTGGCGTTGTCGTGGCGCACTTGCCAAAGCAATAGGTGTCCTGGCATTGGTTTCAAAAGGGAAATGCGCTCAAATTGCATTAAAATGCCAACACAGAAGCATAAAAATTATGGCCACACACTTGGCGTGCCACACTGCCACTGCCACTGCCACTGCCACTGCCCTGTCATAAGCAGCACGCCTGCTGTGCCCCCAAAGTCGCAGTCGCAGTCTCAGCCAGTCGGAGGCGTCCAAGTGTAACAAAACGCAGGCTCCTTGCACGCAGCGTCAGAAATTAAATTGGCAAGCCACCAACAATGAGCATGGCCTGGGGGCCACTAAGCTCTGCTGCCTGCAACATTGAACGCTTTTGACATATTCACGCAACTTGGCCTCGTCCTCGTCCTCGTCCTCATTCTCCTCCTGTGGCTGCGGCTGCGGCGTCGCCTTGTCTGTGGCATAATCATATATTTGCTGCTGGCGGGTACTTATTATTTGCTTGTTCTTTTCTTTTGGCAAATCGGCAGGAAGCGCTGCTAAATTATGTCTTGTTTATGTGGCACTGCATATTTATGGCCAGCGTTGCGGCGCACAATAAAAAAATTGCTACCAAAAGAATGAAATTGCAAAAATTTGACTTGACCAAGTTCCACCAAGCGCCCACTCCACCAACACCACGGCACATACAATCCAAAAACAAGTTCAATGTTTGTTTGCTCTGCCCAGTGGACAAAAACAAGTTCACGCTTTTGTTGTTGTTGTTGCTGTTGTTGTTGCTTTTGCGAAGCCCTACAAAAGTTTATTTGTACACCTTTGAGGGACGTGGCGTGCCTCTTTTGAGAAAGTCTTTGACAAGTGACTGACTCGCATCTCCCTCTCTCTCTCTCTCGCCCTCGTTATTTGTCTCGCATCCGCCTTTTAGGTTTTTTTTGTAATGCGACAAAGTCAACAAATATTTGCAACAAGTCAACACGTGACGATGTGCCTCATGCTTTTTATGAATGGGCGAGTGAATTGTGTCCCCGCAACATTTAATTAAACTGTGTCCAATTTCTCTCTCTACTTGCAGCTCAACTGCCTTGATAGCATTCATAGTACTTATAGGCATACAAGACTCACAGAGTAGATTCGTAAGTAAAACCCACGGCACATCATATCGATCGAGTTCTATAGCTATTATTCCATTGTAGCCTGGACTACGCGCAAAAAGACAATATGGCGCAAATCTGTATTTGCCCGCCAGTTCCGTGACGCCTGGTGGCGAGGGTAACGATCCCAACGAGTGGACCGACTGGAGCTCACCCTCGGATTGCTCGCGCACCTGTGGAGGCGGCGTTTCCTTTCAGACGCGCGAATGCCGCCGTAGAGAGTGAGCTATCCACACTAGAGATCCCAAAGAAACTTTAATAATCCACATCTTTATTTCTTTCCACTCAGCTCGAATGGCGAAGCTATGTGCAGCGGCGGCAGTCGTCGTTACTATTCGTGTAACACACAGGACTGTCCCGAGGAGGAGCCGGATTTCAGGGCTTTGCAGTGCTCGCGCTTCGACGATACCAAATTCGATGGCGTGCTCTACGAATGGGTGCCCTACACCAACGCGGCCAATCCCTGTGAGCTGAACTGCATGCCCAAGGGCGAGCGCTTCTACTATCGCCAGAGGGAGATGGTGGTGGATGGCACACGGTGCAACGACAAAGACCTGGACGTGTGTGTCAATGGCCAATGCATGTCGGTTGGCTGCGACATGATGCTGGGCAGCGAGGCCAAGGAGGACAAGTGCCGCAAGTGCGGTGGTGATGGCAGCACCTGCAAGACCATCCAGAACACGTATACCTCCAGCGATCTAGCCGCTGGGTATAACGATCTGCTGCTCGTGCCCCAAGGAGCCACGAATATCCGTATTCAGGAATCGTCGCCATCGAACAACTATCTGGCCTGCCGCAATCAGACGGGTCACTATTATCTGAACGGCAACTGGCGCATCGATTTCCCACGTCCCATGTTCTATGCGGGCGCCTGGTGGAACTATCAGCGCAAGCCGATGGGCTTTGCGGCGCCTGATCAGCTGACTTGCAGCGGTCCCATATCCGAGAGTATCTACATCGTTATGCTGGTGCAGGACAAGAATGTGAGCGTTGACTACGAGTACAGCATACCGGAATCTCTGAGCCATAGCCAGCCAGATGCACACACGTGGACGCATCGTGAGTTTGGACCCTGCAGCGCGTCTTGCGGCGGTGGAACTCAGTCCCGCCAAGTGACCTGCAACAATCGCATCAATTTACAAGAAGTCGATGAGGCTTTGTGCGAGGCTCAGACCAAACCGGTCGAGAGTCAGGCCTGCGGTACTGAGCCATGTGCTCCACATTGGGTGGAGGGCGAATGGAGCAAATGCTCAAAGGGTTGCGGATCCGATGGCTTTCAAAATCGCACTGTTAGCTGTGAGCGCATTTCGTCTGATGGGTAAGTTGTGCCCAGTGCTCCAGTGAATACAAATGAAAGACATTTATTTCCATAGTGTTCACACGGCGGAGGACGATGCCGTTTGCCTAAAGGAAGTCGGAAACAAGCCAGCAACAACTCAGGAATGCAATCGTGATGTCAAGAACTGTCCGAAGTATCATTTGGGACCCTGGAAACCCTGCGACAAGCTGTGCGGCGATGGCAAAGAAACCCGCAAGGTCACCTGTTTTATTGAGGAAAACGGACACAAACGCGTTCTGGCCGATGAGGATTGTGTGGAAGAAAAGCCTGAGGTGGAAAGAGCCTGTCTTCTGGCACCTTGCGAAGGTGTTGACTGGATCGTATCCCAGTGGAGTGGAGTAAGTAAAATTAATTTAACTGTAGGCTCAAAGGGGTTTAACCTTTTTCCGTTAGTGTGATGCCTGTGGCCAGAATACCGAAACCCGTACTGCCATTTGCGGCTCCAAGGATGGCAAGGTGTACCCAGAGAAGTTTTGCGGATCAACGGCGCCCGAGTTGTCCAGACCCTGCACTTCTTCAAAGTGCGAGTCGCAATGGTTTTCATCCGATTGGAGCAAGTGCTCAGCAGCATGTGGAAAAGGCGTACAATCGCGTATTGTCCTCTGTGGAATTTTTGATGGCAAGAGTATTAAAACCACAGACGACTCAAAGTGCGATGCAGCTACGAAACCAAAATCCGACCAGGAATGCGAAGGCGAAGAAAAGGAATGTCCTGGTCAATGGTTTACTGGTCCTTTTGGTCAGTGTAGCAAACCTTGCGGTGGTGGTGAACGCGTTCGAGAAGTGCTATGTTTATCCAATGGTACAAAGTCCCTCAACTGTGATGAGTCGAAGGTTGAATCTATTTCTGAAAAGTGTAATACTCAGCCTTGTACCAAGGATCAAGTCCTGCCTCTCACTAGTACTGATAAGCCAATTGAAGATGAAGAAGAGGAATGTGAAGATGATGACGAGTTTGATTTGGTCACCTCTGACGTTACAGATGAATCAAATGTTACAGATGACGAGTCAGAAACAATGTCAACCACAGACGATTTGATGTTGAGTGATAGTCCTTACACAACTTCTGAAGACGCCTCTGCTTCTACCGACAGCACAGTCGAAGGATCAGGCTCAGACAGCACTTCAGATAGCGGCTTTTCAACTGAAGGTAGTGGAGAAGATGAAGATACATCTTCGACGGATGCATCTTCCTCTGGATCCACGGACTTGTCCACTGAATCAAGTGGATCTTCTGATAGCAGTGATTCGACCTCAGAGGCCTCATCATCTTCTGTATCTGGATCTACGGCAGACTCCTCAACAGGAGGATCAACTGAATCTACTTCGAGTGACACAACAGATTCCTCAAGCTCAGTCTCATCGGACTCTAGTTCAACAGACATTTCGAGCTCGGGCTCAACAGACTCAAGCTCAACTGATGTATCGAGCTCAACCGAAGTGTCAAGTTCGACGGATGCCTCAAGCTCAACGGATGCTTCAAGCTCAACAGATGTCTCAAGCTCAACAGAGTCCTCCGGCAGCACTGATATCTCAAGTTCGACAGATGCCTCAAGTTCCACAGATACCTCAGGCTCAACGGATGGCTCCAGTTCCACAGACGCCTCAAGTTCAACGGATGTCTCAAGCTCCTCAAGTGCTTCAAGTTCCACGGACGTCTCAAGCTCAACAGAAGCGTCTAGCTCGACAGATGCCTCAGGCTCTACTGATGGTTCTTCCAGTGGATTTACAGATATGCCTATCGAAACTTCATCATCAGATTCGTCATCATCAGTGTCTGGTTCATCTTCAGAGTCAACTGAATCTAGTAGCTCAACAGAAGGTGTATCATCTACATCAGAATCAACTAGTGATGCAACGAAAGATACGACAGACATATCCACTTCAACGGATGCTTCTTCTTCGACAGATTCATCTGTATCTACAGATACGACTGTCTCAACATCAACTGAAACTACGCCAGAAGTTACGACAGAATCAACCCAATCGACTAGTTCACCAGGTTCAACTGAGAGCACAACGGAGGGTAGCTCGACCTCGTCTTCTGAAACGAGTAGTGCGTCTACCGAGTCATCTGATTCAACATCTGGCGTTACAGAATCTACAGATTCCTCAAGCTCAGGCTCAACAGAAACCACCGAGCAGGGGTCTACAGATGGTTCAACAACCAACGATAGTAGCAGCTCTACCGATGCTTCTACTGATAAATCGACAGATGGTACAAGCGATAGTTCTACAGAAAGCTCCACAGATGGTTCGACTGACGGTTCGACAAATATTTCGACTGGCTCTACCGATGGCTCGTCTTCTGGATCATCTGATGGTTCTACCGACGGTTCTACTGATGTTACAACCGATAGCTCGTCCGATGGCTCAACTGACTCTTCCAAATCTTCAGAATCAACTGAGTCTACGACAGCACAAAGCTCTACCTCATCGGAAAGTACTTCGGAGGGTCCAAGCAGTAGCTCAACGACTGAAGAAAGCTCCAGCTCTACTGACGTCTCAAGCTCCACCGACAGCTCAAGTTCCACCGACAGCTCAAGCTCCACCGACAGTTCTAGCTCCACCGGTAGCTCCACAGAAACGACGGGACTTACAACTGAATCTTCTGAATCCACTGGCTCTTCAGAGTCTACCGACAGTTCTTCTGAAACCACCGGGTCTACCGATGCTTCCTCCACTGATGTTACTTCTTCGGAGTCTTCTGATTCAACGGCAACCACCGAAAGTGGAGGTACTACCGAAAGTGGGGCGACTTCAGATACTACGTCTGAAAGTTCTACAGGTTCATCAGGCTCCACCGGCAGTTCACTATCTACGGAGGAAGGCACTACCAAAGATATCTGGAGCACGTCTGATTCTGATGATGAATCAAGCACTCCACACACCTGGGAGACAACTCTTACTCCGACAAAGGATAAACTACGTAAATGTAAGCCCAAGAAGAGGAATTGTGAAAAATCCGAATTTGGTTGCTGTCCTGATGGCAAGTCACCTGCCAAGGGACCATTTGACGAGGGATGTCCAATTGCGAAAACTTGTGCTGACACCGAATTTGGTTGTTGCTCAGACGGAGTTTCTCCAGCCGAGGGCAAAAGAAACAAGGGCTGTCCGAAATCGGACTGCGCGGAGACACTCTTCGGCTGTTGCCCCGACAAATATACAGCTGCCGAGGGTGAGGATAACGAGGGATGTCCAGAGCCAACAACTTTGCCCCCAACAACAACAGAAGAATCAACTATTACCACATCAACCGAAGTTGAAGGATCCGGTGATTCCACTTTGTCAACAGAGTCGGATACCGCTGTCACGTCTTGCTCCTTCACTGAATTCTACTGCTGTCCTGATGGAAAGACACCTGCCAAGGGTGAGAACTTCGCTGGCTGTCCAGAACAAGAAGATCGCCAGGGCTGTGATAAGTCTGAGCACGGTTGTTGCCCAGATCGTCGTACTCCTGCTGCCGGTCCCAATGGCCAAGGCTGTGCTGCTTGCACAAGCGAGCCATTCGGTTGCTGTCCAGACAATCAAACGCCCGCTCACGGACAACTGGGCGAGGGCTGCTGCATTAATACACCTTACGGTTGCTGCCCCGACAATATCCGACCTGCATACGGACCCAACTTTGAGGGCTGTGAATGTCAAGCCTCTCCGTATGGCTGCTGTGCTGATCAGAAGACATCGGCACGTGGACCACAACAAGAGGGCTGCCCATGTGAGACCACTCCACACGGCTGCTGTCCCGACAAAATCACAGCTGCCAGAGGACCCAAATTTGAGGGCTGCCCGTGCGAAACAATGCAGTTCGGTTGTTGCCCGGATGGTCTGTCCTTCGCCAAGGGACCACATCACCAGGGATGCCACTGTGCCCAGTCAGAGCACAAATGCTGTGAGGACGGTAAGACACCAGCTAAAGGACCGAACTTTGAGGGCTGCACCTGCGTTGAGACCGAGTACGGTTGTTGTCCAGATGGCGTTACCAAGGCTCAGGATGACAAGTTCGGCGGTTGCGAAAATGTTCAAGAGCCACCACAAAAGGCATGCGGTCTACCCAAGGAACAGGGTAGCTGTGGCAACTTCAGCGTCAAGTATTACTTTGATACAACCTATGGAGGCTGTGCTCGTTTCTGGTATGGCGGCTGTGAGGGTAATGGAAATCGATTTGAGACCGAGGCTGACTGCAAGGACACGTGCCAAGAATACACCGGACAGCATGTTTGCCTGCTTCCAAAGAGCTCTGGTCCCTGCCAAGGCTATACCAAGAAGTGGTACTTTGACACAGATCGCAATCGCTGCGAGGAGTTCCAATATGGCGGCTGCTACGGCACCAACAATCGCTTCGACAGTCTCGAACAGTGCCAGAGCACCTGCGCCATTAGCGAGAGCTTACGTAAGTAATGGGTGAAATATATGAGTACACAAATTTAATTTCCAATTGAATATTTATTCCATTATAGCCGCCTGTGAGCAGCCGGTGGATAGCGGACCGTGCGGCGGCAACTATGAGAGATGGTACTACGATAACCAGACCGATGTGTGTCGCCCCTTCAGCTATGGTGGCTGCAAGGGCAACAAGAACAACTATCCCACTGAACACGCTTGCAGCTACAGCTGTCGCCAGCCCGGAGTGCTTAAAGGTTTGAGATTTAATTTGTTTATTTACCGTGGTTTGGTAGCGTAATGTGTATTAGCAATGTTTTGCCTTGGGATAGATTTAAGCATGAACTTTTTATTTTATCCTGGCTAACGGTATGTTTTTCCACAATTTCCTTTCCTTTGCTTGGCTTTTGTCTGTGCATGATTGCTTGTTACTTGCTATCTATAACCTGAACTCCTGCACGTTATCCTCGCCTCACACGTACACACATACCCAGAGCAATGCTCACTGCCTAAGCAAACCGGTGATTGCAGCGAGAAGCATGCCAGATGGCAATTCTCCGAATCCGAGAAGCGTTGCTTGCCCTTCTACTACACGGGTTGTGGTGGCAATAAAAACAATTTCCCCACATTGGAATCATGCGAGGACCATTGTCCTCGACAAGTTGGTAAGCTTTAAATGTTGTTGTGATCGCTTTCAATGTGAAAATGCGAAAAGCTGGTTTCCCAAGGCTCCGACACTTTTAACACTGTCCCATTATCTTAGCCAAGGACATTTGCGATATTCCCGCTGAGGTCGGCGAATGCGCCAACTATGTATTTGCCTGGTACTACGATACTAAGGATGCTGCCTGTCGCCAGTTCTACTATGGCGGCTGCGGTGGTAATGAGAATCGTTTTACCAGCGAGGAGGCGTGCATGGCCCGTTGTGAAAAGAAGCCGGAGCCACCAACTCCTCCCCCAGCGCAGAGCGCCGTGGACGTCTGCGATCAACCGGAGGAACGCGGCGATTGTGACAGATATGCGCTTAAGTGGATGTTTGATAGGTCTAGTGGTGCTTGTCGCCAATTTTATTATGGTGGCTGCGGAGGCAATGGCAACCGCTTCGAGAACGAATCTGACTGTATGCAGCGCTGTGGCAGACAGCAGCCGGAACCACAGCCCCGACCTCAGCCAGAGCCACAACCCCGACCACAGCCAGAGCCACAACCCCAACCACAGCCGTCAGGATCTCTGTGTGATCAGCCAGCGTCTGTGGGCGATTGCGCTGAGTATGTGCTCAAGTGGAACTATAATTCAACTTTGGGTAGCTGCCAGCAGTTCTACTATGGTGGCTGCGGGGGCAACGATAATCGCTTCGATACCGAACAGGACTGCTCTGCGCGTTGCATTGCTGGCGTAGAAGAGGAACCACGCCCGGAATCCGATACGGACAAGTGCTTCAGGGCCCCAGAGCCTGGCAACTGTTATGACAACACAACGCGCTGGTACTACAATAGCCAGGAGGGACTCTGCGATGAGTTTGTTTACACTGGCTGCGGTGGCAATGACAACAACTTTGCCACCGAGGAGGAGTGCCAGAACGACTGCCATCCTGCACAGGAGACCTGCTCCCTGCCACCAGTGGCCGGACGCTGCAGCGACATCTCGCAGCGGTGGTACTTTGACGAACGAACCGGTGCCTGCCATCAATTTGAGTTTACAGGCTGCCGCGGCAATCGCAATAACTTTGTGTCAGAACGTTCCTGCTTGGAGTACTGTCGTCGTGATCAATCGCAGCCGGAGCCGGAACCAGAACCGCCAGCACCTGTAAGTTAACTAATTATATAATCTGTTTCTATAGCTGCTTAGGCTTTGCTTCCTTTAGTCCTTCTCGGTGTGCACACAACCTCCAGAGGCCGGAGAATGCGACAACGAGACCACCGCCTGGTTCTACGACAACGAGAAAATGGCCTGCACAGCCTTCAGCTACAGCGGCTGCGGCGGCAATGGCAATCGGTTCGAGACCCGCGATCAGTGCGAACGCCAGTGCGGCGAGTTCAAGGGTGTCGGTAAGTCAAATGATTTATATATAATTGTATAGTGTCCTAGTTTTATTAACGTGTTGTGTTAGACGTTTGCAATGAGCCGGTGACAAGGGGTCCCTGCACACAGTGGCAGACCCGCTACTACTACGATCGCGACAGCCAGACCTGCCAGCCCTTCACCTACGGTGGCTGCGATGGCACTGGCAACCGTTTCAACGATCTCTATGAGTGTCAAACGGTTTGTGTCGCCGGCCGCGAGCCACAGCCTTCGGGTGCGGCCAAAGGTAACAATGATAGATGTCAGAGCCGAGAGCAATTCGTTTAATTGATTTTTTTGTATTTGATTTTAATTTTGTGTGGACGTAAGTAGATATCTGCCGGCTACCGGTGATCATCGGTGTGTGCAACGGGCGCTCGGTACAAGAGCGTCGTTGGTACTACGACGATGAGCGCGGCACTTGCGTGTCCTTTATTTACTCGGGTTGCTCTGGCAACCAGAACAACTTCCGTTCCTTTGAAGCATGCACAAATCAATGCGGAAGTAAGCCTGCCAACCAATACCAACTGCACCCGAGCACCCGAGCACCCTGCACCCAAATCAATACCCACCACAAATGCACCAAATTCTGCACACTGCCTCACTTTCTGCACAAACTTCAAAATGCTTGATTGGTTAAGCGTAGAAGTAGCATTCCTTAGTAGAAGTACTTAGTTAGAGCACGTTCACTAGACATAAGCTTGCACGCAACTTGGTAGATTAGCTGATTAACTACCTGTGCGAATACCAAAACTGATCACTTTTCACACTTTTCACAGAGCCAATCGAGAATGAGATCGTCAACGAAATCTCTCCCAGCCGCTGCGAAACCTACGATAACGAGTGCCGTGATCTGCGCTGCCCGTACGGCGTGCGTCGGGTGCCCGCCGAATCGCAGCCGGAGTGCGAGCAGTGCATCTGCTTAAACCCTTGCGAAGGCTACCCTTGCCCCGAAGGTCAACAATGTGCCATCGATGTGTCCAACAACGGAGATCGCGATAATCAGTTTGTGCCCGTCTGTCGTGACATCAACAAGCCTGGTGTCTGCCCACAGTTGGCGGCCAACGCCAGCGATTGCGCCCGGGAATGCTACACCGATGCGGACTGTCGTGGCGATAACAAATGCTGCAGCGATGGCTGTGGACATCTCTGCGTGGGTCCAGCACGTCCCACACGGCGACCCAATACTCCGCCGCCGGCAGTCATTTACCCAGGCGAGGTGAGAGCTACGCTTGAGTCGAAGCAGCCACAGGAACTGGATGTACAGACCTCGATTGGCGGCATTGCAGTATTACGTTGCTTTGCAACTGGCAACCCGGCCCCGAATATTACCTGGTCTCTAAAGAACGTGGTGGTAAGAAGTCAACAGGCTTTCAATAGGAACGAACAACTGATACGCACTATCTATCCATTTTAGATTGACACGAACCAAGGGCGATATGTGCTCACCTCGAGCGGTGATCTGACCATTGTTCAGGTGCGTCAAACCGACGATGGAACCTACGTTTGCGTCGCCAGCAACGGCTTGGGCGAGCCAGTGCGTCGCGAAGTTGCACTACAAGTAACAGGTGCGTGAGAAATCTATTTATTTAAACTATATGCCATAAGCATCTGCAAATTCTTTAAACTACATTTATTAAGAGCGAAATTGCGAAGACACCTTAACCATTAAAATGAGCTAGGCAGAAGGAGCTTTATGTCCTGCATGTTCCCTGAGCCGAGAAGATAGCTATTTTAGCAAGAATATGATCAGCTTGAAGAACTTTAGGCTCAGCCACAGACATATTCACAACAATAATTGAATATTTATCAGTTAGATATTTTGGAATCCTTATCAAGGCTTCAAAAAGCAGGTTTTAATTGCAAAGCTTTAGCTCGGAATCAACATTTTCTATTAATATTTATAGCTGTATTTAGATTTATATTTTTTGAAAAGATGGTTTAGTTCAATATAATTTTGTGTTTGGATAATTGCAAATATTTCAAATCGATTTAAAAAAATTTAATCTAAAACAAATTGAATTGTTCTAATGAAAGTGAAAGCAATAGATCGAACCAAAACCTCGGCTCATAGATGTGTGTTAGCGGACTTGACGCACAAAAACTTAATTTGCTAAAGAGCTTTATATAAATAACCTAGGCTAATTGTGTTTGAAAATAATTTGCACATGGCTTTAAAAACTTCGGATTTTCGAAGAATATTATATGTTATTGCTTGCTTTGGTGTTGGCGTCAGAACTAACTGATTTTTCTTTACGCAATTGTGCATGTTGCTTGCTTTTAACAATTTGCATGTTTTTGGTTACGTGTTGGTGTTGGTGTTGGTAGAGCCTAGAGATGTGCCCGCCTATATCTATGGCGATAAGAACGCCACCCAAATTGTGCAACTGAACCGACCGGCGTTGGTCCGTTGCCCGGCTGGTGGTCAGCCTGCGCCCCATGTCAGCTGGTGGCGCAACAATCGACTCTTCGGCATGGGCAGTGAAACGGGTCGCGCTGAGATGAACCGCGACTATTCGCTCTTCTTCCGCTCCATACAGCTGTCCGATCTGGGCCTGTATACCTGCGATGTGTACAATAACAAGGGACGTCCAGTCTCGCTGCATGTTACGCTTAAGGCGGTAGGTCCGGCACGCGCTGTCAACAACGAGGACGCCAAATACTTGCAGTATATCATTGACCCAGCTACGGCGCCGGTCACCCAAAGGCCCACCTATCCCTATAGACCATCGCGTCCGGTCTATGTGCCACCCCCTGTTGTGCACGATCCAAGAAGTAAGTACAAATCGCATGATACTTTTTCGGAATGGTTTGTTTTTGTGTTTTTTCGATTTGCATAGAGCTGAAAGTAATTTGAAATTATATTAATTATCGCTTTATAGTCGATGCCCGAGCTGTTATTGGTCTGGACCCGCAAAATAGCTACACGCCCGGCTCCACAATTGCGATTGGCTGTGCGGTGCAGGGCAATCCGGCGCCCAATGTCACCTGGACTAAGGATAACACGCCCTTATACGCCAACGAGCGCATCCAAATAACATGTAAGGCTTCAATCTCTCTCAATATATCAGAACTTTGGTAACCTTTCTCCATCTCCTCCATTTCAACCAGCCGATCCGCATCGCATGGTCATCCATGATGTTACCACCGAGGATACCGGCGTCTATGGCTGCACAGCGCGCAATGCCTATAGCTACAGCACCAGCCAGGAGACAGTTACCATCGAATGTAAGCAACTAAATATGAGGTGGAGGGAATTCCACTAAAGTTTTCTTTATTCGTTGCAGCTGTCATACCGGTATCGCCCGAATGTATTGACAATCCCTATTTTGCCAACTGCAAGCTGATTGTCCAGGGCCAGTACTGTGTGAATAAGTACTATGCGCAGTTCTGCTGCAGATCCTGCACATTGGCAGGCCAGATAGCGCAGCCTCATCCTAATGCGCTTTAATTCCATACCAAACTTTAAAGCCTAGCATTTTTGTTGGACTTCTGCATTGAATTGAGTTTAAACCAGAAAATATATTCCGAAAATGAGCAATGTCACAAAACCAGCAGAGAGACCAAATAAACCCGCCAATTGCATAGCCCACAGATCAAATATATAACGAACGTTTTGCTTAGTAAATACATATACATATATCATATACTATATCCTATATACGATGATTTCTTCCAGCACAAAAGAAAATAGTATTAGTACTTTATGTTTTTTGTTCCTATTTATTTTTGATTTAAATTCAATCCATAGAAGAAAGTGGCTAAAACTTATTTTCATTTTATAAATATTATTTAGTGTTTTTTCTACGATATTTGTGCAACGAGTAAAGCAATTTAAGTCTAAAAAATATTTGTAAATAAATTAAAATTATATAATAAAGAGTGCATATGTATAAATACTATAACTCTTTCACTCTTCAACCACCCACACACACACAAAAATCATTTCAAATCATTCAACAGGGTGGCAACGCCCTACAATAAGGGGTTATTGATTTTTCCACCAAGCGCCACGCTGCAGCTGTTTGTTGGATTCTGCGCTTTGCTGCCTTGGGGTGGATGGATTGGAGTTTGGAGCAGTACACAGAGAGAGAGATAGTAAAATTTGTTTGTGTTTGTCATCGCGTGCTGTATTTTTTTTATAACAAAATATTTAGAACAAACCAAAACATAGTTTAAGTCGTTGAAGCATGGAGGACAGCGGCATAGATAGTGAGGATAGGCAGTCGAATATATATGAGGATGGCGCAGCGGGTTTGCTGGTAAGTATTCAAATAACTCAAGACAGAAAGAAAGACTCACGGCCATGCCCAATGCAGAAAACCGCCAGTGGAGCGCCCAAACATATGTCGGATCTGGAGTTTGAGGTGGCATTTAGGGGTGCCAGCAAGGTATATGCGCCGACGACCATTGAAATCGATGAAGATAGGGCTGGCCGAGGGACGGAGCGCAACGAGCCGCCAAACACCTGCCGCATACTGCAACGAAAACTAGAACTGAAGGTCGAGCGTGCCAGGCGCAATTATACACAGTTTCAAGAGGAGCAGGTGGGTGCAGTAAATCAAATTGAAAGTCCCTGAGCTGATGATATATAGTTCATCTATTCTCCAGGCAACTAAAACACAAGCGGCAACACTCATACCTATCAATCGTTTGCCCATTCCGGGCGAGCAGGAGCAGAAGCCGCTGGTCGATTATAAGTCTGAGAGCAGTGACGAGGCGGAGGAGATATCCTTCTTTCCGGCACAGCTGAGGCGGGCCAAACGACGGCAGCAGAATCCCGAACTAACCGACACTTTTAGCATACAGGAGATGACCATCGAGTCGGATCTGGACTCCGATGACAGCGGCGGCACTCAGAATCTCGAACTACTCTTGCCCTCCATGAAATCAAATATTTTGGATAAGTTGAAGAGCTGCTTTGGCTGCTGCCGGCGCAGGTAATGCCAGGAGACGCGGCACAGCAAGGGACGGTATAGGCACAAAACACGTTATTGAAAGGCACTAGAATTCACTTGTAGACACAATATACACATAGCGTACATAAACGATTGCCAATACAGATTTGCAAATACACATATATTTATTTGCGTTCATCTAGATAACGATCAAGATAATTGCTTTGAACACATTTCATCGCCATCTCTATATATCCGTATTCAATGTTAGACACACGCCCTGCAGTATCCAATGACTCAGATCCTCCGAGGTGGCCAAATTTGCCTCGAACACCAGACCCACGCCCATGGCATTGCGTCGCAGCGATGTGGTGTACACAGGCGCCAGGAATGTATTCTGCAAAGGTATAAAATGTTATTGAGGAATTTTGATTGGTATTTTTATCATAATCTATTACAACTAATTGGTATGGAAAATTACGAGCTTAGTTTGAAATGTAAAATGTGTTGTATTACGAATTCCTTAGGCAGTCTAGGGATTTCAAGTAGTTAAGTTTCCTGATCTAGCCCCACCCACTTAGTATGCTCTGTTCGAAAAAGTTTGAACTGGTTGCTCAGTTTAACTTCCTATACTCCGCCGCGGCCCCTTTGTTCCTGGCAAAAGTTAAAGCAGCCCGCATTTAAAATCAGAAACAATTAGCACAACAGCTGCCCCATTAGCTGCGGAGGATGCGGAAGCTGTTGGTAATTTAGTGCACAGCATTTAAACAAATATCAGCGAGGGTGAGCACACCAGCCACCAGCCACCCCCAAAATTCACGTATTACGCTCCACCAAACGCATATGTAGATACAGGGTACAGGATACAGGAGGACATTAGTACTTGTCTTTTGCAGACGGCGTCGAGCCCAGGCCGAAAGCGAGCAGCGGAATAAATACAAACCTGTAGCTTAAGCCGGTGCGCTTCAATGGGGACCACGGCCAGAATGGCCAGCTCTTCGACCAGAACTTTTGGATGCGAGCGCTTCAGCTGGCCAGCCTGCATGTCAAAGCGTGCCCCCTCTATATACAGGCCATGCACATAGCAGCCCTGCAAAAAGTTCAACGATTAAAATGCAAACAGAATTCTTAATTACGAAATTAGTGCCAGGCGAGGGCGGGCAGCACTCCTGCTGGTCACATGGGGGGTCATAGTTTTGCATTTAGAGCCGGACGGACTCGACTCACCGTCGCTGGGCGCTCCTCGACGTCATCGGGCTCCGAGTAGGTGGTCACATAGGTGAATAGCGTCGAACGATCCAGGGGCCAGGCGTTCTTGCGGCAGGCAATCTGCGAAAGGGGTAGGGGTAGCGATATATTAGGCAGACTGTCATTATGGAGAACTAGGGAGAACTAACCTGAACCAGGGCCGTGAGGTAGCTCTGCGGTATATGTAATCCGGACAGCCACATGACCAGCGGCTCGCCCGATATTGACCAATACTTGTACTGCACGGCGCGTTTCTAAAATACCAGGTAAAAGCGAATCGCTGATTAGTGGGCCTGGATCTGACTGATTTGTCCGCCGTCAAGTTGATTAATGAGCCGCTACTGTGGCCGGGAATGCGGCGACTCACCTTTAAGTGCTCCAGCCAGCTGGCCAACTGCTTGCATGTGGCTGGCGCCAGTTTGGCCCACGAGGCTGGCAGCAGGCCATTGAATAACGAGTTGGCAATGTTGTCCAGGATATTGTCCATGCCGATTTCGCCGGCGATGGCCTGCGGAGAGCATGCAATTAAATTAAAAGGCACAATGACAGCACATATGCATGCATGAATGGGCGAGGGGCACGACTATTTGTGTGGGCGCGGCAGCATCTATGCCAAGACAATGGCAATGGCAGCGGCAGAGTTCATTTGCATTTGTAAATTTATTTTGGCAACAAAATGCAGCAAAGAATCGTATTCGAATTTGCTTATGGGCAGGACGTGGGCGACCACGAGCATTGGCACGAGTCAGCAGCCAAGTTGGCAAATGCATAAACAAAATGCAAAACAAAGCTGAAGGATTTATGTGAGCTGCCCATTGACAGGCGTTGCGAATGCCAGAGCCATGGCAATCTCTTAGTTACCTTGCGCAGCAGCTCCAGCGTCTTCTTGATGCGCACCACCAGTATGTTAAATCGGTCCAGCTCCTGCAGCAGCACCACGCCCGTGGGTGACAGACTCATTTGGATTTGCTTGCGGATGCGCCACGTCTCGAAAGCGGGCGGAAGTTTTTTCAGTATTCCCGCAGCCACCAGGTCGATGAAGTCGTCTCGGCTGATGCCACCCGAACCCTCACCTAAATGGCGAAATTGTAAAATAAGTAAGGATTGACAATGGCAGAGAAAGCCACCATTGTTATATATTATGTGCAACATTTGTGGTCTACACTATGCTTCTTTTTTCCTATCCTTTTTTGTTTTACATTTTAATTTTTATTTATTTCTTGTTTTTATCCTCGACTCTTCCGATTTTTAATTGTCAATTAGCAAATACTAAAGCTCATGAATATGCAAATTGTCGGCAGTATTTCAGAGAGCTACCCTATAAAAGCGGAGCATTTGGTAGAGAAGCAGGATTAAAGAGGACTCTATTTTTATTAAGTACAGCTCAATTTAAAATTTTATAGGTAGATCGGCGCTGACGTATGTTCCCATTTTGTTGTCGTGCTTGTTATTCCCTGAACCCATTGAAAACACCAAAAATTATATATTTTTGCTCAGCTTCAATAGCCGAGTTTGTTTTAAGAATACACAGATCAATTATCGAAATTAATGTCAATTCCAAATGGATGTTGAATTTTTACAAATATACGAACACAATAAGATATATCATCAAGATCGGTTAAAGTGCATGTGTACAAGAGCGTGCGTTCATTTTCGAATTCTATAAATAGAATTGCAATTGCAATTGTTCTGTGTGAAAGTGCTTATATGAAAGGTCAGTTTTATCCGTAAAGACCCAAATGGTAGTATGACGACGAAGTATGAGGCCGAGGCTAGTAGATCGTTCGATCAAACGGGGCGTGAGATCGAAAAATAATTATTTTTTTTAAATTTGTATAAACAATGCTAGTTGTATGAATTTTCCTATAAAGTAGGTAAATAGGCAAAATGGGTATTTTTAGACTAAGGCCTGAGTAAAGCGAATATGTAGAATATGAATTTTCATACTAAATCATCAAAACATTTATGTGAAATATCGGAAATTTTCTTAAATATACCGTTACTATAATATGGACTATGGAAATGGGTAAACTATGTATTCAATGGCACGTGCAAATCAAGTTTGTTTCAAATCAGGTTCAGGGTATCTCTTAGTCGGGCAATTCCAACTAGAGCACTCTTGTCTCTGTATAACTGTGTAGGTTCTTCAATAAAGATCTTTTAGAATTATCAATTATGGTAAAACGGATGCTGGTCCAGATTGTTTTCAATTTTTGATGTGAGGTTACTTTTCACCAATCTACAGAGTATTCCCTAGTCAATAACTTTCCTTTCGTATAAGTAAATATATATCACGGCAATTTAAACAAAAAACTGTTCGATTTTACTTGGTAAATGTTGGTCCATTCCATTTATTTTTTAAATCAGCTGCATCGTCGCGCTTATTATTTCATTTAAATGTTACAGCCTGTTTGTTAGCGAGAGGGAGGGGTGGGGGGGGGGGGGGTCTGTTTACGTAAAATACTTTACCAGTTTTGACATTGTTTGGTGTCCACTTGGTCGCTGCGTTCGCGCAAAGGTGTTACAAAAAAAACAAAAATTTTTGTTAAATTGAACATAAATATATATATGGAGTTAAAACATTTTTGCACAATCATTGACATGCCACACACATGCGAGTATGTGCGTACGTATGTGTGTATGTGCATATATTACAGCATCGAGTGCGAGTGCGAGTGCGGAAAATGGAAAAGTGCTCTCTGATGGCGGTTTTAACACGCTTAAGCTCGTAACGCAAAATTATCGACTTTCGGGTGACGTTTTCCACCAATTTCTGTTGCTGCGAATGCGGATCAGGGTGAGAGAGCGGTGAGAGGTTAAAACTGAATTCGCAGCTTTTTTGCGGCGATTTGTGGCGATTTGCGGTGTGCGGGTGGCTATAAATGCCTGAACGAATGTGTGTTCGTGTGAGTGTGTGTGTCGAGTGTGTGTGTGTGTGTCGAGTGTGTGCTTCTATTTTAATTTTTAATGCATGCCCTGTTATTGTATGCCGGCTATAATGGCGCATGCAATAAAGTTAATTGCAAAACCGCAACTAATTAATTAAATTAAATTAAAAATTCAACATGCCCAAAATGCAACAGAAATGAAAATCAACAAGATAAAATGTAATAAACGGCTGACAATTGGCACACGCTGCATGTATGTAAATTAAACCATTTACTTGTAAATGGCTTCCGTTTTTTAACCGAACTGTCAAACACTTTATCGGATGCAGATACATGTGTAAGCTCATGTCGCATTCAAGCAGCAGGTCAATTTTCAAAATGCAAATAAAAAACTACAAAAAAAATGAAACAAAGCTCTGAATTCGAGGACAGACTGGATTTTAAAATCTTGCCGAGTTCCTGAAGTCAATACTAACTAATGAGCTTCAGTATATTCATAAAGTACTACACATATTTACTATATTTGAATAAAAATAAATAAATAAAAATAAATCGAATTAATTTCGACATATAAGATAAGAAAATGAGCAGCACATTCTTAAAGTCTGCAAAATCTTTTAGAATTAAGAAATTGACTAAGCAAATGGATTTATGAATCTATGATACATCTTTAGTAAATACTAAAATATCTAAAAGTGCACTAGGTAAGCATATAAAATAAAGTGTGGCAACAAATCAATGTACCCAGAATTTTCTGGTGTGCATCGTTGGCCAGTCACTCACCAGTTTGCGGCTGCAACTCAATCAGGCTGTTCCAGATATTGCGCGCGGCCATTGTGTAATAACCGATTTCCGCGTTTGGATGTAAACCAAATACATCCGGCTTATTGACCAGAGGCAGTTTGTCAATGTGGGCTGTGTGATCAATGCAGTTCGCATGTAAACAAGTCCCACTAACAAGTCTGACTACTTACCAATGAAGTCCTCTTTGAGTACGGTCTCCTCTTCGGGCAAGCAATAGTCGACGTG